CAAGAAATGTTGGATTCCACCTCAGTTTATCCAAAATGTTGTGCAACCTATATGTTTAAATTTGTGTGTTCACCAAAGGTAGGAGCCAATATTCTCCACCTAATATTCTTCTCACAGCCTCACTCCTCTGGAAGGCCTGTGAATACTGAATGCACTTCTCTGAAATGAAATCTAACTTTTGTGGTCCTTTCTTGAATTACCATTTTGTATGTTAGCATTTCAAGAATGGTGGAGTCATCTGAAATTCGGCATTAGAAGGAATCCACAAGGTTACCAAAACAGAACAAGAATTATGCTTAGTTCAGTTCATTAAGCATGATTAAAGTCCAAGTATCAGAAATAGCTCATGAACTCTCGGAATATAAATATGTAAGAAAGCCCTAATCAGAAAGAATTCCCCCCAAATCCATCTACCAGAGAATCTCAGTTACAACAACATATCTCTGGGTCTACATGTGGTTACACCAAACAACATCATTATTTTTAAAATAAAATATGTGCATATGATTATGTACGTTTATCTGTGAAGTTGTGAGTTGCTTGGGGCCACTTGTAAAGTAGGGCTGACAGAATAAAATCAACGATGCATTGCATTAGATGTATAGCAAACCTTAGTCATGGTTCTAAATTAAGTCCCAAACACATTTTTTTCTTCAATGCATATCATTTCAGAATGAGCAATGGCTGTGTTCTCCCCTATTGGAAATTCATAGAGATAAGAAATCTTAACCTGAAGTCCAGGGACCTCCTATGGAAGACTCTGGGGGAGGGGGTCTTGTTTTAACAACAGTTGGGTTTATGTATATCCTGGAATATTTTCCCCTGGGGGACAGTATCTGTAATTTCTCATTAGATTCACAAAAGAGTATGTGATTTTCTAAAAGTTTGAAAACCACAGCTCTAGAAGATGGTCACAGGGCTAGATGCAAAAACCATAACTGAAAGGCCTCAAATATCTTTGAGTCTACACTCTAACTGGGCATTGATAGCCAATGTGCTCAAGATGGCATTTCAATTCAAAAATAAAGGCAGCTAGCTAAAAGCCTTAGTCCATCAGAACACTCCTGTTGGCTGAGATATAGTTATAGATATATATCACATAGAATAAAAGCCAATTTTAATTTTTGCTTATATTTTTTTTCTAATTCTTTTGGTTCCAAAAGACAGCGATCATCATATTTGAAGCAAACTCTGAGTCTCCCTACCTCTTCTCTCTTTGATAGCTTGAACACTCCAAAATTATTATTATTCTTTAATGCATGGCATTTTTTACTTAGAAGGCAATTGAATGATATCTGGCAGTTTGGCAGGGAATAATATCTTGTAGTTTGACAGAGGTAATGACCTCCTCTGATTGCAGGCTCCTGTATTCTTTCCTGGATCAGTTCAATGCATGGTTCAAGTTCAGATGGCAATAATACTTACAAAACTAAATGGAATTATTATCGGTTACTGTCCCACCAGTATTTCAACGACCAAACTACACCTTCAAAAATGACCCTGAGTCCCTAAACAAAAGTATCCACTGGTGACTATTTTTACATCTATGCCTTACATACGTTAGGTCCTCTTATCACCTTCCATATTTTCCTGGGACAATTTCTTTCACTACCATGCCACCAAACTTATGCCTATAAATTTTCTGGTCTTTAGGCTTGTTTTTTTAGCTACCTGCTAAACTACCTCGATGCAAAGATATCTCCTCATTCAACAAGTCCAAGGTTAAACTCTTTGTGACTGCACCAAATTTCCTACTCTTTCTTTTTTATCCTCCATCCTAACAGGTATCAGACCATCCATCCATGGTATAACCTGAGAACCATCTGTGATCTCTCTCTCTCTCTCTCTCTCTCTCTCTCTCTCTCTCTCTCTCCACCCCCCATCCAATCAGTCATCAAATCTTGTCCATTTTTACTCTGAAATCATGTTCAAATAAATCTCTTATTTTCCATCTTAGTGATTAATGATCTTGTTCAAGCCCTCATCTCTCCACAGTTTAAATAAGTTCAATTCTTCCAGAGTATAAACTCCATGAGGACAGGGATGGCATCCATTTGACTCATCATTGCATCTTGAGCTTCAAGCACAAAGCTTGACTGTGACCAGTCAGGAAATGTGTGTTGAATGAATGAATTGTTCCTGACTATCTACAGATAAAATTAGAGGTCCTTACCCTGGTATATTAAGCCCTTCCTAATCTTCTGCAGGGACATTCCTCTCCTTGTTCCTTGAGCTCCAATGACACCCAACCACATGGGATTTCTGGAAGACATTCTGTTGCCTACCACTCTAGGCCCATGTTTCCCTCTGCCTGGACTATCCTGCCCAAACCTGCTTGACCTTGGACACTGAAGACCTCCATCTTGCTATTTGAGGCACAGTCCACCTACCTTCCTCAACAAGCCTTCCTAATATACATGCATAGTCCCCAGGATGAGTGAACATCTGCTTCCCTAAGCACTCAGAGCACCCCATGCACATGACTGTCATTTCACTCTGCCTTGTGATAACCTGTTGTGACCATCTACAGTTCTACATTCTGAATGTTTTGGACTATATCTTATTCATCCTTAGAGATTCCATTCTAGGAAAATGTCTGTATAGAGTAGATA